CTGCTCCTCACAAGCTCCGTCACTGGTATCCTTTGCAGTAAGGAACTGATCACATCAAGAGTGTCTTTAAACTCTGGGTTCAGTGCCCACTGAGCGGGGGGGGCACTCTCAGTTACTACAACATGGTTACTGGTATGGGCATCCTGGGCCTGTCCTATAGTCAAAGCATGTTGTCCTAGGGAGGTATGAGGTTTCATCCTCTAACAGAAAGTTGGTGTGAATATTTCCCAGAACTTATGGTTTATGTCATTCTGGGCAACAGTTAGGGCCTGTTTTTCAGCGAGGCTGAGGAAGCCAATATGTAAAATGCACTTATTGCCTGTGAAAGTCAGACACATGTAGGGACTGGGGAAAACAGAGCTGCTTGGGGAGTTTGGATGAATATGCCATCACTGCATATGATATTGTTCCTTTTAAAAGAGTGTGGTTTGTATGGAGTTCTGTAGCCTGAGATGTCAGCTTCTAAATCTTAATGGAGCAATTTTTTTTACCTTGCAGCACTGGATTATCCACAAAGACACATTTTTCCCATTGTATTTCATTCTTAGAAGAAAACTACAGCTGATGATGATGGTTGTTAAGAGTATTTCAGTTCTAGCCTTATTTTGACAGCATTCTAAATGAATTATGGGACCAATTTTGACAGTAGTGTTAGCCATTGGTCCCATTTTCATGGTGATTTTGACACTATCTCTAGCATCTTTTTCAAAGCTTTGCATGGGCTGGATGCCATGTAGTTTGATGGTGAGCCTTCCCATTGAAATCCATACAAGTCTAGCACACGGGCAATTTCACAGTATGGAAGTGATGTTTCCAAAAAAGTACAGTGTCGGTATCTTTTCCTTGGGCATGGGGCCCACTTGCTGCCTTCTGAGCTGAAAAACACTCCAGTTGTAGCAGTGGCTTTGTGCAACTTATTTAAGGAGCAGAATCTCAGCTGCTGCAATCTTAATAGCTCCTCTGATTTCTGTTTCCACCTGATAAAATTACAGCTCATCTGTTTGCTTGTTGGTTTCATTTAAGGTTTGAATTGTGCTGATGAGCCTCATAAGATCCATTGCCTTCTGTGTCTTCTATTGAAACATTGGTGCTGAACTGGGTTGACCTGCGATGCAGGAGCTCTTCATGTTTAAACAGCTCTTGGGTGAAATCGTGACGCAAGCTGTGACAAGGTGAGGAGGGTGATGGCCTTTGGTGGGCCTCTGAATCTGACACCTGGTCATCTGTCCCTCAGACCTCTCACCTGTGCCACAGGAGAGCTGACAAGATAATTAACGTTTTGAACTGAGAATAAAACCCCAGTAGGAACCCAGCACAGTCATGGCTCTGAATTCTTCCTGATCATTTAGTAGGACAAAACACACCAGAGAAAAGCAATTGAAAGATGTTCTTATTTTGTAAGGCCACTTCATACCCATATAGTTTTCTTCTCCACATGGTTTGATTTCAGCCGTCAAAGGGCACAGCAGGCAAGGCAGTGGAGAATCAGGCTGCGTCATTTTAATATGGAGCTTTAGCTGTGTTTCATTTTAGTAATATTTCACAGGAGGCTTCTATGACTGACAGGCACCATATAAATAAAATATATAATCATTTCAAAAGCATAACCTGTAGGTTGCTCTCTTGTGCTGAGTACATTTGCTACTAATGTTCTTCCTCGGCCACAAATAAAATGAATCAACAAAGCTGCTGCACATGGTAGTTTTAAAACCAGTCTATAAACTAAACATGTAAAGAGGTGTATAAAACATAAGGTAGGGTACATCTATACACACACACATACACATATATATATGCCAGTCACTCACTCACTGTCACATATTCACGTGGTACAAAATATAAGTTTCTTGCTTTTCAATCATATACTGTTAACAAATGTAAAAATACAGCATCAGTAAAAATAAACCAAGCAACTCAGCTGCCCACACACTGAACTGTGGTATGCCCTGCTTGTCAGTAGGTGTCATGCAACACCACAGTTTTTAAACACCTATCTTGCAAATATCCCTTAAAGAGGATATTCACCTCCAAATGGCTTCTGTTGGTTTTTTTCTTTAAAGTCACAAGTATTCTTACCTGAGTGATGAACAAGTGTAATGAGAGTATCCACTAATGAGGGACTGCAACTAATTCCCGTCTCTTTGGATACAGAGTTGGTTGCGTTTGGAAAGGCAGCAGCAGCAGCAGCAGCCAACGCAGCAGTCAGCTGAATAGACAGGGCAGCAGAGAAGAAGAGAGCCCTTGCTGAAGAGACTGAGCACAAAGGCACCAAGCCTAATACCTGCTCACCTCTATATTACCTTTTCTTTCCCCTTTTCCCCCTGTGCCCCAGTAATCCAATAAAAACTCCTTTGTTTCTGTCATAGCTGCAAACACAACTCAATAATGTCATCGTACAGATCAGCCAGCTCAATTTTTCTCTAATCCAATCAATAAAATGACCATGCTGTGCTCCCTGCTCCAATTTAAAATCAGGGATGATAGCCTGAAAGAAGCAAATCCCAGTGTGCTGCTGATCAGACCTTAGGGTATCATTTTGTTTGGTTGCTGTTTTCACAGCTTGGTCATACACACATTGAACCTGCAAATGCAGCAATGAAGCTAAACGAAGTGGGAAGCAAAACCAAAGCTGAATTTTACAGAATTTAGGCTGACTGGAGCCCTCAAAGAGCTCATCAGATGCCCCAGCTGTGAGTTGAGTGCCTGGGTGCTCAGTAGGAAGGAGTAGGGTTCAGTGACATGCCTGTGCCCTAAAACCTAGATCCATCCACAGCCCTGAGGGGTTCAGACTGCCCTGAGACAGGACATTAAACATAGTGGCTGAGATCAGCAGGCATTTCCATCCCAGCTCCCTCTGGATAATTCCTGATAACACTTTGAATGTCTATTGATCAGGCAGAAATTTTTCTATTTGCTCCTGCAATTGAAATCTCATTTGATTTGTTGGCATGAAGGCATCACTGGCTTTTAATACAAAGAGAATGATATTTTTTTTCAACATCTCTAAAGAAGAAAATTGTTGCAACTCTTTTCTTTTTTTTGTTTTTTTTTTTTTAACATCTTTAATGCCAAAGCAGCTGGGGGAAGCAAGCCTGAATTTGTCAGACAGATAGATAGCCCTTGTTGTAGAGAAGTGTCTTGGAGTGTTCCGGTTAAAATTGGTTTTGATTTGCCAGAGTTAAGAGCTGTTGAGAATTGCACATGCCGTAGATGTTTTAACACTGATAATGCTGAGCTGGGAGCTGGCAGAAGCTCCCTGTGCCACTGCTGTAGCTGCGGTCTGGCCAAGTTTGCTGAGGCATGGGATGTCAGAGGCCCCTGGGGGCTGTAAACCAAAGGGATCAGGTGAAGGGATCCAGAACACTAAGTAGAGTGAGCTGGAGCCAAAAAAATGCCAAGGTCCCCATGGGGATCTGACTTCTCAGACCCCTTCTAAATCCAGCCCTAAGACAGGGAGACCTTTTTTTCCCCGCACAAAATCAGCCTCCCCAGGGGAGATGCCACGCTGTTGTCACTGGTAAGGTAGCAAAGTGCTCTGACAGCATATTGATTTTGCACAACGTAAGGTACTTCATGGAAAGAGAGATTTACTGTGTGACTGATAGACAGAAAGGCAGGTAGCTATGTAATCAGAGAAAATGGAGTCTACTAGCAGCATCTTATTTATGGTTGTTTATTGTGAAAATACAGAGCACCAAAGAAGGACTGTTATTTTCTCTTTAAAAGGGAGAACAGCTTCCCAAAACCAAGTGCAACATTGCAGTTAGTGACTATTGGACTAAGTAACTTGGACCGATGTTTTATTAACAGATATGTATTGCTAATAGAATACCTATTGATCTATCACTTGACTTGTGGCCAAATCTTGGTTTTTGCAGAACCTCTGGGGTAGCTATAACCTGTGCAATGCCATGGCTGTACACCACCAACACATCACCCCCTTCCACAGAGAGCCTATCACCTCCTATTTATGTTATTGTTTCTGCATCCTATAAATGGCCACAGCATATCTATCTATAGGTCCAACACCTGGTGGTGAGCAGAGAGGAGATGCAGATGGTGGCATTGTAGTTGTCTGTAAGGTTGTCAATAAAATCTATAGATTGAGAAGTAAATATGGAGTGTCTAAACAGCTGGAATATACAGAGATGTAGAGATACAGAGAGGGGTGTCTGTGTGAGTGAAAAACAAATTCATTCATGAGATGTATTCAAATATATGTCTGGAGATACATAATTTCCATATATATTACAAGACAGCAGAAAAAGTAGGGTGGATATGCATTTTCAGAGATTTCCAATTCTCTAAGCAAGGGAAAATACGCAAATATAGCAAATAGCTCAGAGCAGCAGAACTAATGCAGGCTGCTTTCCTATGGATTTGTGCCCTGGCTTGACTATACAATATATAACAACTTGTGAGCTCCAATTTACTATTTTTCATGTCTGGAAATCTGACAGGGTTTCCTAGCATCTAAGAAAGGGTTAGGCAAAGCTTGTGCTGCAACCTTTCCTTCAGTGGAGATGACAGCACAGCTCCTTCCTCTACTTGGCTGCTGATTTTCATTAAATCTGTGGGAATACAGCACCACCAAGATTGTCAAATATGTTTGAAATTAGTCAAGATGTTGAAAAGTTATTAGTAACACATACTCATGCATACACGCACACACGTGCAGCGCGTGCTTGCAGAAGCATGGGCTCATAGGAAGCCAAGCCTAGAAGAATATGTAAAAAGCTCTCTTATCTATAAGCTGCGCATTCCCAGTGTGAAGCAAAACAGCAGAATGTAATTTATTAAAATATTTGTCAGTCTGTTCTTAATTTAGAATCTGGTTCTTTCTATAGGAGAAAAAAAGAAGTGCCCCTCCTAAGAGCTGAACAAGAGGCAAATGTGTAACTGTTCGTAGATTCGAAAGCTGAAGGACAATTACATTCCTGTAGTCCCCACATCCTTGCCAAAGAGTGTACAGGCGAGATAGTTCCCACATGCACAAGGCACAATTAGTGCCATAAACTGAGTAAGACTTTGGTAAGATGGTACCTGTAGTCCCATACCCAGTTCTACTGCCATGTGGTAACAAGGAATTCAACCTGGAATGGGGTAAAGCAAGTCTTGTAGGATGTTCAGGGATTTTAGCATTTATTTTTTGAGGGGACATTGGAAAAGGTTGACTTGTTTAGCTTATCAAAGTGGAAGTTGAGAGAGAATATGGTCATTTTCTATAAAAATATCAGTGACAAATATAAGCAAGGCAGAAGAACTGGTTAAATGTAGAGATTGACAACCTAAGAGCTCACAGTCATAAGATAATCTTCTAAAATTAGAAGTTGAAATAAGCTACCTAGTGAGCAGAGGAGTTAATTCCTGAATCTGCATTTTAGCACAAGTGGGAGTAAATAACAAACTCACATTAAGATCTAGCTTAATAAAAGATTACCAGGAAGGCGTTTGACATAGTTTGACTAGAAGAACTTGGGCTTTGCAACCCAAAGTGTTCTTCATCCTCATGAAGTTCTAATGGGCTTTGTTCAGCAGTTCAGAGGCTGAATATTTGAAGCTGAGCTGTACACTATATTGAAATAACGGTGAGCCAAAGGATAGGTCTGCAGTGCAAAACTATATTCAGCATTGAAGGAGGATTAGGAACTACCCAAGAATAATGCAGAATTTAGGCCACTTCCCCTACACACCACACCAAGTGGCACACATTGCAAGCCTCCCAGTGATGTGATTGTAGCCCTATCACTCTTTCCACTTAACTTGGCACCATGTCAACTCCTGTTAAAGGCTATACCATTAGTGAGCACAGCGCTCTATCCTGTTTCATGAACTTTATCACTTTCTTTGCTCATGCCCTATTTACTAGGCTTGTAAAATATGTGTAGCCTACAACTGGCAGAAAGAGTTTGACTAAAAATATAGTTAAGAGAATTCTATACAACACAGACATGGAAACTGGAAGCCATCAGCCATAATGACTGTGCTGTTGGACGTGCATAATTGTCACTAAGCCACCCGACAGCATTCCATGTTACGTGGGTTTGATTTCTTTTCCCAAATACTGCTGAACAGATTGGTGGGAGTTTGAGGAGAAGAAAACAGAAAGATTTATATTCTGCCTTGCACCCTAGATTCTGAGCCTCACCTTCCACCAACTTTCCAGCCTGACATCATTTCTCCGGATGAGTAGGTGTAGGAGAAATCTCATTCCTAATGTGGCATATAGACCGTATTTCAGTCTCTCTTTATGTTTATCACTAACATAAATCTCTTTTCTTACAGTGCAGAACATCTCTTGGAGGCAGGAACTCATTGACCACATGCTGCAGCAGTTGGAGAGCCATGCCTACTAATTACTGGCACTCTGCAGCACTTCATCAACATTTGCTGTTGCAAGTAATAATAATGAGCCACAGCATGGGTTGAATCACATAACCAGTAACTTCCTCCCTACTTCTTGTTTTTTACCCAAGTTTTTCCTTTTCACTTTTCACCTTTGCACCCTGATCACCTCCCTCTTCCCTGGACCATTGCGTCTGAGGCAAAGCCCAGCCAGTACCAGCTCAAGAGCTCCCTACCTCTTCCAGCTGTACCTCAAGAAATCAGATGTAGCATCAGAAAGTCCAGCTCACGCAGGCTATACAAAGGGTGACTCCAAAAGAGTGCCTAAGCCCATACCCCAGACCCTCCCTCAGCAGAAAACTACTTCCTTATTACTATTCTACATGGTACAACAAATTATCTTCTTTCCATCCACAGGCCCCTGTAGTCCCTCCTTAACCAAATCAGTGTATTCCAGCAGCCTCAAGACTCACGGAGGTGTTTTCAGCAACACGTGCTTGGCTCCTAAGACAAGCCCATGGAAAGCACTAGCCTGACACTGCACAGAATGAAGCAAAGTACAACCCATGCAGCATGCAAAGCCTCAACTTTAACTGCTTTATTTTCTGGTATCTTTTTTCTTACTTACTTTGATTAATACTTAAAAAAACACCAGCAGCACTAAAATAATTGCCAGTATTTTGACTAACATCTTGCATTTTCCAGGTTGAGAAGCTAACATTGGTCATAAGAAATCAGCCTGAAATCCTATGTTGTCCAATGTCCTGTTTCTGAGGAAAAGCAAGGGAAGATCTCAGCCACATAAACTGGTACTGACACAAAATATCCTTCCTGCCTCCAGCAGCTTCGGGACTACACAGGCTGTGCAGGCACTTTTTGTATGAATGATAATATGATAAATGCTCTTTATTTTTAGTCAGCCAGCACATACAAGAAGCTTTTAGGATTTTAGTCTACTCAAGTAGGAGGCAAAAAGATTTTTAGATGTTATTTATTTCTATATATAGAGGAAACTACTGTTTATGCCCCCCAATGTATTCCTGTTTTCCTTTTATTCTCGAGGTTTTTCGTGCTGGAAAAGCAAATATATCTGTGAGTTAAACACATCTTTTTAGTTGAAACTGATATGAGGACTTACTGGGGAAAAAAATAATAAGGTAAAATGCTGTCTCAGTTGAGTCTTATTTTTTTCAAAATAAAATCCATATTGATGAAAACTTGTCAAATCAGAATATGGATGGTCTACAATCAGGTAAACAGTGTTAGTTTGCTAGCTGTTTTCCCAAACCAGAGCCAAGATTTTTAATGGTGCCAAAGATGAGCGTCAGTAGGTGCCAAGAAAGTCTGTACAATGCACAACAGGAAGTTTTAGCGGTCCTACCAAGCCTAAAAATTATGCTGCATGCTCTGAGTGTCCTTTCCTGGCACTTATCTATTTAGCTGCTGCAAACATATGTGCTATAGCATAGTTAAGTTGCCCAATTTGAAATATTACTCAGTCTTCAACTCCCACTGATCTTAGTGTTTAGGTTTCTGGGAAAAAGAAAACAAACCACAAAAATAAAACTAGAAAGATTCGTCTATCTTTTCAGGAATCTAGATGTGGAGACAGAAAAACAGATACTCAAATCCTGGCACCAGATGTCTGATGGCATGTTTGGAGAATTAGTAAGACTGGAAAGACAAGAAAAATGGAAAGAAAGTCTTCACCCAATATGACAGGAATGTATCTGCAAGCAATTATTATGTCATTATAGTTTCACAAACAATACGTATTAACTGGTACACAAATCTCCGTAAGTGCTAAATGAAATGTTAACCATTATATTCCAAATGCTTTATCACAAGAGACATTTTGTGACATCAGAAACTAGTTTTCCTTCCACTCAATTATCTCTATTAACTGGTATATGTATGCTGAATCCCTGCCGTGCAGTTTGTAATGCTGATCCTCATTAACTGAGTAAACAAAAATGCAGCCTCATTGGCAAGGCAAGTCAAGTGATCAGAGAGCAGGGGTCACTGTGACCAGAGATCATCCATCATCAGTCCCTCTGCCAGGGTATGAAGTTAGCATGTAGTTGTTGGGCACTCAGGGTGAGCCGGACCACAGATGGAGTCTGGAGCAAGCACAGCACTTTCACAAAATCCCACAGCTACAGCAAGGTGCAAGACTTTGCTTTATGTAAAGCATTTTAGAGCATCAGGTAGATTTCAATGTCCCAAAATCTGGAACAATTTATAAAACAAGATGACATAAACCCAAAAAGCACAGTGCACACAAACACGTTTTCTCTTGTGCAGCAGTGCAAAATTGGACAATTATCCTTCCCTTGAAGGACTTGAATTATAAATGACATTTCTAGATCTCTCTCTTGCACTGTTGAATAGTGGGCCTGATGCTTACAATTTGACGTCATGTATAAAATGCTATCAAACCGAGGATCCACTTCAGAAAAACATTTAAGCATGTGCTTAAGCTTAACTACTGCAATGAAGCTGATGGGAGGAAAGCTCATATTTAAATACTTTGCAGACCAGGGTTGTCATTATGAGCCTAAAAGCAGCCCTAGACTGAAACTGCTCTGACTCCAGAATGGCTGCATCTGCTCTGTCTCGCTCTAGAGTGGTTTGAATGGCTGAGCAGGGAGCACAGCTGTGCAGAAAGAGCCCCAGCCCCAGAATCCACCAACTTCAGTTCTGCTGGCCTCTTTCCCCCCATTCGGTATAATTGCATGAGCACAGCTTGAATCTTTTCTCACTTCTACAAGTGTAAATCACAAGTAAATCCTCTGAGGAGAGGCCTGAATAGTGAAAAACAGGGAGAGAGTGAGGCCAGCTCTTCTCTCCATAGGTACTCAGTAAAATGGCACCAGCCCTGGAAAAACAATTCCTAGGAAAAAAAAATAAAAAGGAAAGAAGTTTCTGTAAAACTGTCACACCCTACAGCTCCGGATTTCCTACTGTTCTGTCATCACCTTCTGATCTCCCTTTAACTTTGTAGCTTATCTAATTCTTCCTGAGTTTTGCGATCCTGGTTCTCCCCTGACAATATTTCAGTGTAAATCCACCAGCTGTGGTTAGGTGCGATTTACACCAGCAGGAGCAGGCAAGTGAAGGAATGTCCCCAGTACCCCTTACCTTCCCACCCCTGACCATCCTTAACTCACAAAGAGTAGGGATCACACCCAGCAGCTTGTCCCTTGTGGGCTGAGTTGTACAGGGGTGGAGGCCCGTTATGAGATTTATTAGTGGAGAATGTGGTGATGGCAGTGCTATTCTTCCTGAAATTTGCATAAAATCTGTGCAGAAAGAGGGAGAAAAATTGTGAACATCTGACTATACCCATAGCCAGTACAGAATTCCATTACTGTGTTGGCATGAGCCTGTGAGCATGGCACTTCTAAATAATTCATTAAATTAGCAGAAGTTGCATGTGGAAGAGGTACACTAATACAATGCAGAGGAACGCTCTTGTCTATGGCAGAACAAGCTTTACAAGATGAAGTATTTGCCACCTGATGTCAAACCAAAGCCTAGAAGGATATTGGTCTTGCTCCAGTTAATTTAGTATAGGATAAAAGCTCAGAGGACACTCATTGCCCAGTCTCATGGAAGCTTATTCTTCGTTACAGGCTACAAGGATAGTCGCTCTCCCTCCCCAGGGCAGTTGGGCCACTGGGCTGCAAAGAGACCCTGCTCAAGCACTGCCAAGACAGAAGAGGGGATATAAGCAGGACTAACACTGAGTGTTTCACCCACTTGGCATACCAGCTCATCCAGCATCACTCTCTAGATGAGGGTGATGAAAAGCTCTCAGCCAGGCAAGTCACATGGCTGCCACTCTCCTAGAACTCGTCCATTGTGTATGTGTCTCCCAGCCACTGGATGAGGCCCACGAGATCAGCACCGTGAAACTTGAGCACAAGGCTCAGGAGGGCACACAGAGCTCTCCAGGCCAGATCCAGGCCACCAAGGCCTAGGCTGAGGTCCTTAACTGTCTCAGAGGAGCTGGGAACGAGTCCCAGGGCCAGGACTCCTGCTGGGGTTCAGCACTGTCCCACCTGGGACAGGCATTTCCTCACTGTGTCAAGAGATGTCCTTGATGTCCTTGATGTCTTCAAGCAGTTCAGGTAATCTCAGGATTAATCCATAGAAGAATCTGCTTAAATAGCAACAAGAGCATAACTAGAAATCAGCATCAGCTGGAGAACCCAGATAGGAGCAACACAATGTTGGTCACTTACTCCAGATTAATTCAACCATCTCTAATTTGCCTAACATACTGAATTTGTATTTACTCTGAATTTGCTATATTAGCTTACATAGAGCATGACATTGGCTCCCTGCAAACCCTGTTTCTCATCTCTTTGAAAGCTAAATTTTTACAGCCTTTTTTCTTTCCTTTATTTTTTCTCTTTCTTTATTTTTAAGACAATGAAATAGAGTTCCTTTCTATTGTTTTGCAAACAACTGCTGAGTAATAGAGCAAAACTATGTCAGAGCTCTGTATTGCCTGAATGAATGCTATTCTCAGAAAGGACAGTGCTTTCATCTTAATTGCTAGCTAGCAACAAAAGTGTTGGAGTTCAGCACTACAATATAATTCAGTGATGGAAAAAATCTTAACAATTTACTAGAAAAGAGAATATTTTTTACTGTGGGTATTTTATAGTGCTGCAAAAGTACGAGAATTACATACCCCTTGCTAACACAATATTTATAAATCCTTATTATGCCAGTTTCCATAATTTTAAACTTTTTTTTCTATTCCTGAGCAATTTGCAAATAGTGCTCTGTGTTCTGATAAACACTGAAATACAGATATCTTGCAATACCTGGTACTTCTGACTTTACAAATGAGCTGTACAAAGCACCAGCAATTTAAAATTTATTTTTTAAAAAACATACATAGCTTTGAAATTGCAGAACTATAAAGTATCGCCTTGAATAAGTGTGTGATTCCTTGCGATGCATTTAGTGTCAGGCCTTTCATTATTTGCATGATACATGATCACTGTGGCTGGCCCCTTCCCAAAGAGTACTACAGTTCCCTTACTCCCTCCACCAAAATTATGTAGCCTGATCTAGTGGTGGCTCAGCCCAGTGCGATGGTTACAATGCTAAAAAGGGGACTAGTGACTTGAAGTATCCATCCTTACCTTAAAAGAGCCTAATCTCAGAGACAGGGTCTGAAGGTCTATCAGGTATATAGGAGCAGAGATGCCTGAGACCATGGACAGCAGGGGCTATCACCTTTCCCAGGAGAGAACTTTCTGTCACAGAATATTATCTGAGAATTGCTTTAAAAAACTCCCAGTCTCTAATTAAACAGTATTAGTATATCATGTCATTAAATATGAACCTTTCTTGCTAAAATGCTAGACTTTGTTATAAACAAAAGCAGTCTTTTCCATAGGTCTGTGGTGATCTTCAGTGTGAGGTTGGTGAGGCACAGGCACAGGTTCTCCAGAGAATTTGTGGATGCCCCATCCGCATTTGTGGCATTTGTGGATGCCAGAACTTGTGTACAGGCCAAGTTGGATGGAGCTTTGAGTAACCTGGTCTAGTGGAAATTGTCCCTGCTCATGGCAGGGGACTTTGAAACCAGATGATCTTTAATATCCCTTCCAACCCAAACCATTTTATCCATGATTCTCTAATTCTATGATGAGTTTTTTAAATGTGTAACCACAAGCCAGTGAGAACCTTTCACATTACCATTTGAAGCTGACATCCAAACTTCTTCAGCAGCTGGTCCCTGTATCCAATTAGTTCTCTTGACAGGACCTGAATATTAATTTGCTGCAGGTTTTAATTAAATATTGAAGAATTACAGTGACATGACATGACAGCCTACTGCAAAATAATTTACAATATCCTGTTATATTGTTATTCTAAAACAATTTTCCTAGCATGTTTAATCTTCTTAAAACCTGCTGCTAAATGAAATTACTGTATTTTGCTATATATCAAATAATGATAAATGGCATCTTGCATTTACATGTGCCTTCCGTATCCAAGGAGCAGAGTACTCACTCCTTCTTACCTGTGTCCCTCCTTTCCTTAAAGAGAAAAACATATCTTTCCATCATTGAGAAGCCCGAGTTTTTTTAGAACAGATCCTCAAGGGGGTCGCTAATATTTTAAAAACTGAGCTCACACTGAACATGTGCTATTACCATCAAAGGCAGAGAGGTCAAAATAGATATTACAAATCTGTACAAACCTTCTTTGTCTGGTAACTCGGGTCAAGAAGTGCCAATTCACGTGTCTGATGTTTTGATGCAGTTTGTGCATTGGCAGAAAAATAAATCACAAAATCCACCATTCAACAGCAATTAGGTGTGTAATAAAATGGGCTAGATCCCGTTCTCCTTTGCAGCTGCAAAATACCACAGAGCATGATGAAATTCCTTCGATAACTGCAACCCAGAGCCAAATTTACTTGACAAGTGCCAGTATCAGCAGGTATTGTATCAACCTACTGTGGAAATATCTATAGAGCTGGGCTGATGCTTCTTTTCAGGTTTTTATGCAGTGCCCATCCCCTCATTAGCTAAGCAGTGATCTACTGTGCTTATCCTTCCACACACCACGAGGTCATGTATTTAAAATAGACCTTCATGATACTAGTATTTGAATATCACTGGCTCTTTGAAAGACACTAGAATTGAATTTTGTAATCAGCTTTGCTTGAACTAAACCAACAAAGGAACATAAGATCTCTGAGTACCCAGTATACTTTTTAAATGTTAGAAAGATCTTTTTTCCAGCATGAGCAGGAAAAAATGCAGAGTTAATTTTGACAGCACAGACACTGCTGCCATTGTGCAGGCAGAAACTCGAACTTCCCAGCTGTCTTGCTGGCTCAACACTCCATTAGACATTTGAAAGGGAAGAATCCATGCTGGAAATTTTGTTTGGAGGAATAGCCTTGAGGGCAGAATGTTGGATCACTGTTACAGTGTTCTGGAAGCCACATTATTATTATTATTATCATCATCATTATCATCATCATTATTATTATTATTTCTGGTTTTCCCTTTATAATCTCCAGCTTCCAGGGACATAATGACACACTTCTGCTTCTCAAAACCATAAGCATGGCAACTGAAATTTGGGCCAGCATCACCAACAACCTGCATCCTGAATATAGGGAAGGCAGAGGTGCCTGTGGACTAGCCTGAATGCCCTGCAGCAGTCCTGCTCGGTGTCAGTCGTATCTGCAATAATGTGAAGGACACCTGTCTCTAAAGGAAAAATTAACATCAAATAATTT